TCTGTTAGAATTGTCAGAGTATTCTTTTTTACTGATTTTGTGTTTGATTTTATAGATTTTTTTGTGAGGGCTGCAAGGGAACATTGCAGAACATGGATTTGGCCTTTCTGCACATAAATATATATATATATATATATATTTGTAACATCTTCTACATGATGACTTCAGAGAATCCTTATGTAATTTATTTTTGGGGCCTCGGTGGCCGAGTGGTCTAAGTAGTTACTACTGTAATTACTAGCCAGTCAACACTGAGGTTGTGAGTTCGAACCCCGCTTGTGCGGGTGCACTCGACTCCAATCTTAATTGACTAGGATTGTCAGTTTTCCTATCGAAGGTCAGTGGTTTTCTCCGGGCACCCCGGCTTCCTCCACCAATAAAAACTGGCCGCCACGAAATAGCCCAAAAGCGGTGCTTAAAAGTGGCGTTAAAACACCAAAAATCAAATCAAATGTAATTTAATGTACCGATATATATTATTATTGTAAACATTCAAATTCAATTTCACTTTTGGCTATTCCATAAAAGTTAGTATTATAATTATATTTATTTATGAATTAGACTGTGTCTTCATCCCACTTGGTATTCACAATTCAATGAATAAAAGTAATGGCTTGCCTTTTAAACAACACACATTACTTAACATTCAATCATTTCTTTACTACTATCAGGTTTTTTGATTATTTCAAGGTTTTTGTCTCACCTGCGACAAAAGTCGCAAAAAGGGAGACATAGGTGTTGCTTTTCTGTTGGTGTTGGTGGCGACAGTGAAGGCGTTAACGATTGTTAAATTTTCTGCTGAAGTCAGTTTGATAGGAACTACTTGTGATAGATCAATGATATTTTGTATACAGTTGCATTACTATCAGTACATATCAGTTTGAAGACTATTTCGAGGGCCTGCCCCCTAGTTCATGATCCAGCAACTTTGAATTAATTAGTATTGTTGCTGTACATCAGAAAGTCTTTTATTTTTATTATACGCCCGTTTACGGGACGTATTATGGTATACCATTGTCCGTCTGTCCGTCCGTCTGTCCGTCGTCAACATGTCGGACATTAACTCAAAAATGCTTTCAACAATTTGCATAAAACTTTGGTGAATTGTTTATATCTATTGACGTGAGCTCCCTTTCGTTTTTTATAAAATTTAGATTTTAAGTTTCCGAGTTATGGGGTTTTATTCATTAAAAAAAGGGGGATTTTCCAGTTTTCGGACAATAAGTCAAGAATGCTTTCACCAACTTGCAAGAAATTGTGGTGAATTGTTTATATCTATTGACATGAGCTCCCTTTCGATTTTTATAAATTTTAGATTTTACGTTTCCGAGTTACAGGGTTTTATTCATAAAAAAAGGGGGGATTTGCCAGTTTTCGGACAAAAAATCAAAAATGCTTTCAGCAATTCTTATGAAACTTTGGTGAATTGTTTATATGTATTGATGTAAGCTCCCTTTAGATTTTTATAAATTTTACATTTTACATTTCTGAGTTATGGGGTTTTATTCATTAAAAAAAAGGGTGATTTTCCAGTTTTCTGATAATAACTCAAAAATGCTGTCACCAATTCTCATGAAACTTTGGTGAATTGTTTATATCTATTGATGTAAGCTCCCTTTTTATTTTCATAAATTTCTGATATGACATTGAGAATTAATTGAACTTTATTTGTTTATAGTCTGACAACAAATATACTAAGTATTGCACAACAGCAAGAAATATTTAATTGAATATAAATTCAATTCATATAACCAATTTCAAGTTCTTTGACTACATTTATTCAGAAACCTATAATATGTCAAATATTTAATTACAATCCAAATTCATACCTGAATCAAGCTTGAATATTGTGTCCATTTTTGCCCCAACTGTTCAAGGTTGGACCTCTGCGGGTGTATCTAGCTGCGCTCAGCGAAGCAGTTTATTTTACATATCTCTGTGTCAACAGTTTATTATTTTAATTTTTATCCATTTATAATTTTATTGCTGAGGTAATGGCATTGAGCATAGCAAACTTGAGGATTATGAATCTTAATACAATTCTACTTAATTTCAGATATTTGTCATGAGAAATAAATATTTTTACATCTAAAACTTGCATTTTGCATTTATTAAAGATTTTATACTTTTTGGACTGGAGATTATGAAATTTTGAGTCACAAATTAAATCTAAATTGTATGACATTCAAGATTTCTATTTTAAAAAAAGGAATATTTTCAAAATTTCTGTTTAATAAAAAAGCTTCAAATTCTTACTTTATGTGTAAACAAAGTCTGTATTTAATAATAATGATGGTTTTCCTTGACAGAAAGGCCAAGAGAAAATTTTCAGATGAAAATCAAATGTTGAAATAAATTGTCTTACCTAGAGTGATTTGAAGCCAACCAAACAATACTAGGCTATACACTTTGCAACCTTTTTGACAGTCAGACATCATCAGGACTTTACTGAATAGCTTCATTGCCAAGTTTATATCTAAGGCCTTTAAAAAGTAAAAGGAAACATTTATATTTTTAGGTCAAAGGTAAAGGTCACAGCTGATAAAAATAAACCGAAAGGATGAATCAGGCCTTTTTTTTGTTCTTTGTTTTGTTTCAAAATTTGTCAGACCATGGCCTTTATAGCTAAAAAAAAAAACAGTAACAGTTGCTCATTAATGAAGGCCGTATTATGACCAAAAGTTGCTTACATCCACGTCCTTTGGTCTCTGGTGGATAATTGTCTCATTAGCTATATACAAAATGTACAACATCTTAATTTCATACTGATAAAATAGAATTATAAGGTGCAGATGCTGATCCAGGATTTTGAAAAAGGGGCCTGGCAACAAGGCAACGTAAGGATTGGGACTTGTAAAAGGTCTGCATTAACCATATATATAGCTCCATAGGTTGTACCCCCCCCCCCCCCCCCTAATCCATCAGTGGGGTGGATGTTGTTTCTTGGTAATTACTTGAAATACACTTCTGGCATTTTAATAAAACTTATAGAAATGGTAGATAGTAGAAAAGGTACTATATGAAAATATGAAGATGTGGTATGATTGCTAATGAGACAACTCTCCACCAGAGACTACATGACAGAAGTTAACAACTATATATCACCGTATGGCCTTCAACAATGAGCAAAACCCATACCACATAGCTAAAAAAAGGCCTCGAAATGAAAAATGTAACAATTCAAACGATAAAACTAACGGCCTGATTTACAAACAAAACAATGAACGAAAGATAAATATGATATATAAACGACAACCACTGAATTACTGACTGATTGTTGATTTCGAGGTCTAAGATTAAAGTAAGAGTTACACAAATAGACAGCTATAAATGCTATGAAATATCCACTAAGCTTTTTCATTTTTCAGGAATATTTGTAATGGCCATGTCTCCACTATGGTTGGTTTGCTAGGGTCGGGGGAACCCTTCCCAAATTTTGTTTTCAGTGGGGCTTAAAGATGAGTTATTAGAAGGCTCTCCAGTGGGCTTTTTAAACACATGAAAGCTACATGTTGATTGAAATTTCACCAGAGTCTTGGTTCCAATATGAATCCTGTCGAAACTATTTTAAAAATTTAATTTTTAAGCAATGTAATTGGGCATGAGCCCTTCAGACAAGACAGGCAACCCATAATCAGGGGAACGCCTGCTCAATTTTTAAGGATTATGTTTAGCTCACCTGGCCATCAAATTAATATACCCTTCAATAAATACGCTTATCTTGTGGTCATGGTTGCTTTTTGTCCTTTTTATGGTCCTGCGACAAAATTTCGAGGGGCATATTAATTTACCCCTGTCCGTCCGTCCGGATATCGATACATTGTTTGTCCGACTATCTCGTCCTACAGTTTTGAGCTACAGCTTTAATATTTTGTAGGTAGTTTGTTCACATAATGGAAGTGTGCATGTTCACAGGATTATGATCTTTTTTTCAAATGTTCTCAAAATGCCAGGAATTTGGACTTAGTCATTTTTTTGTACTAAAGTCAGAAAGGGATGTTAGATATTCACAAAAACCGGTAGTTGGACTTCATTTCCTTCTCACTTGCTATATAATTAAAAACATGGGTTGTTCTACTACAGTTTAAAGTCCCTAATGCAATGAATACGATATTTTAGTATTGTCAAATATTTAATCAATACCGGGAAGTTGAACTTGTTTACCACTGGAAATAGAAATTTGAACTTTGTGACTTCTAAAACTGGATAGTTGAAACCCTTTTGCTGGACATTCAGTGCTGCAAGTCTAGACATTCAGAATAAATAAAAGATAGATCATCATACATTGTGTTAAATTTATAATTTCTTATGGTCAGGCGGGGGCATCATTTGTTTCTTACAGACAGCGCAACAATTTCAAGTTTTTGTACTTCAACATCACTGTTTGTATGTTGAACTATACTCATGCATATGGCAGAGCAGAGGGGGACATCGTCCATATTTAGTTTACACCAAGTTTACCGATCTATCGCAGCTTACATAGTTTACACTGTAGGATCTCATTATTACTATATCACCAGCAAACAAAAAGCTTCTAATATTAGTCTGCTTTATTTAAGGATGGCAGTCATTTTGTTTAAGAATTTGCGGTAGATGATTAAAAAATATTAAATAAGATGGGACTTAAAAGTCCTCCGTTTTTTTAAAGAAGTGTTGTTACTTTACAAGACATTATATAATCTGTATGAGAGTCATGACCTCTCAGCATTGATTTAACGTCTATATTCTATTTACAAAAATCTACTTTTATGTTAACCATATTGGAGGGTGTGGTTGGGGGTTTACAGAATAGAAAATAATGGGCAAAAAAATATAAAGAATAGAGAATATATATATAAAAAAAAAGAATAAAGAATAATGAGGTGCTAAAATATAAAGAATAGAGAATAATGGGCAAAAAGTTTAAAGAATAGAGAAAAATGGCCTAAAGAATAGAGAAATGAAGGACCCCCATCCAGACGCTCATATTGACTAATTTTTTAGCACATTTATTTACTGGGTGATATAAGATTTCTATATGTCACCACGCACTGGTTCAACTTCAGATAAAAATAGTATAACATACTTCCTGTACAAACTTTAACAACACCTTGCAGGTTTTAAGTACTGGTAGGTAAAAATGATTATGTTTGTATATCCCCTCCATCCTTTTATTGCGATATATAGACAGGGGTTTGGAAAAAAGGGGGTCGTTTGAAGGAGAGTTTGGACGAAGAACCCCTCTGAAAAAAAGACATAAAGATGGTTAAATTAAAGCCATGTGGTTAAAGTCGAGTTGGGACGTCATGGCCGAACAAATCTCCAGAGATATCCTGACTTTATTGGAAATTTCATCTGATAAATCGATTAAAATAAGGGTTTCGTACAGCTAAGAAGGTATAAAAAGGATAAGGCAACAGACATAAAATGTACAAATGTACACTTAAAGGTGTGCAACTATATATTTCCCACCCTATATGTTTATAACATAAATGAGTATAATTTCTCACGTTTCGCGTTTCGTTAGTGTAGGGAGAAATTATTGTGTTTACGGTACTAGCGTATAGTTTTATAAGCTTACTTCACTAGGTATAAGACACGTGACTAATTTTATAGCGGGAAATTTTTTCCCAGAGACTATCACCTTCTAGCCCGCAGCAGACATGGCAACATTCAAGCTCCATTCTTATAATGAATATATTATGATACATGTATTTATATGTTTTCAAAACTTTACACGTCCGAGTATGTCTCATGAGACGAATTGTCGCATTGGGTCGGACATAGGTGTCCAGTTTATCCCATTATTGGGTTTGTTTGGTTGTTCATGGCCAGCGAGGTCGTTCATGATCGAGTTATTCATTTATTCAGTTATTCAGTTTACATTCATGTCAACCATGCGATAGTTTTGTTTGTATATTATAGCTAAGTTGTACTCAATAGTATATCCATGATTTTGTAAATCGGATTATTTGTGATTATTGTTTTTTTCATATTTATTGAGATACATATATGTAAATGATTAATAAATTCTGTTGTCCACTATGCTTGCTGGTTTATCGACAATACTATATATATTGTATTCATTCATACCTTCATAGAATAAAAAATATGAGCGTATAGGGTATTATATAAATAACACATAGCTGAGAGGGGGATAGAGCAGATTGTTACCCCGAGAAAACATTGTCAACTGAGGCGAAGCCAAGGTTGACAATGTACTTCGAGGGGTAACAATCTGCTCTATCACCCTCTCAGATATGTGTTATTTAACTTATTAAAAATGTCCAAACTAAGCTTTCATACAATTTTTCTTTCGAAAAGTCTTTTATATTCATAAGAACCAGACATCATTTGAAATAAAACATTTTATATTCAGTAAAATATGTGTGAAATTACAATACGTGTTTAGTAAGTTTCCATGGGAGAGTCTTCTATATTCAAAAGAATAATGTTTTAGGTTATCTCCCATGGAAACTTATTAACAACGTATTATAATTTCACATATATTTTACTGAATGTAAGATGTTTTAATTGAAATGATGTCTGATTCTTATGAATATAGAAGACTTTTCGAAAGAAAAATTGTATGGAAGCTTAGTTTGGACATTTTTATAGCAATTCAAAATTACTACCCATCACCTTTAGCATGACAATAACAATAAAATTTCTATACAAACTGTTAGACTGATTTTTCATAATAACATTGATGTGGAATTAAAGTCTTATAGGATTGTAAGTATGCTTTAATTTATCACCTTGCACTTTCACGACTTGACTGGTTTTCTACAGCAGTTTGTTCAAATTTCTGACCAGTTGAACAGTTTGGTTTCATAAAACAAATTGCAATTTGGTAAGAATTTTGAATAAATTGCAATTGGTGGAGAGCAACATTAACAGTCAAGTCACAGTAAAACACTATTTGTTTCAAAGACACATAGGAACAAGCATTAAAAAGGCCATGTTGGATTTTTTGTAACAAATTTTCAAAAAGTTCAAACTCGATTTAAATCACTTCCTTTCTGAAAAATTCCTCCTACAAAACCTGATTGGTTGGTGCCATTGCTTCTACTAAACTACTCTTTCTACTGTGATATCTGATTGTTGGAAGTTGCTCTGTTTATATCTTAATTTTAATATTAAATTTAGTGGTAAAATTCTTTGAGACTGTGAGTCATCAGGTCTGTGATTGAAACCGCTACTTAAAAAATTGGCTGAGATTGCGAGAAGAAATGTTTTGAATCCTTCAACAAAACAAAACAATGACTTTAAGATTTGTATTTGCCTTTTCTCTGCTATGGACCCAGCATTTTAAGGAAAATCTAGTCGATATGGAGCTGAATAGTTCCTGGTGACTGATATTTCAAGAGCAATTACTGTAAACATTCGACTCAGCATGTCGATCCTAGTAAAAAGCAAGATGGTAATGGTGATATGTCTTAAAAATGTTATCGTCCAAAATATGCACGTGATCATTGATCAGCATTCAACTAAAACACAAAATACTTTAAAGACCTTCAATAGCCTTAACTTAATGCAATTTATCGTTTTCATTTTGTTACCTTTTCTAACATCGAACTGGACTTATTTTGGACTGAGTTTTACTGGGCGTTTTGCTGTGTGTTTGTTTATATCACATTGGCTAGAAGTATTAGGGGAGGGTTGAGATATCACAAAACATGATTAACCCCGCCACATTTTTGTCCCATGTCAGGAACTTCTAGACTTTTGTGTTTTTATAAAAAAAAGTGGTTCATTTGTATGTTTCGGAGTTTAGTGGGGCGTCAATTTCGCCGAACTATAATACATTATTGTTTAGGGGCCAGCTGAAACCCGCCTCCGGATGCGAGATTTTCTCGCTGCGTTGAAGACCCATTGGTGGCCTTTTGACAGTTTTCTGCTCTTTGCTCGGGTTGTTGTCCCTTTGACACATTCCCCGTTTCCATTCTTTATTCTAAACATATAAGTTGAACGGAGATCGTGCCGTAAATCTATGATTAATGAAGTCTAAGATCCAGAATTTATTTGCATCTACCCACAGTTAATGTCACACAACTTTTTGTCTTAATTTGAAAAGGGCTATTTGTTCTATCACATCCACTTAGTTTCTTGGGAAATATACTATAACTGTCAATTTTCAAATTCCTAACTATGGCACTGATCATTTAACCTTTGTGTAGGTTGGTGGGGGAGGCATTTTTTGTCTCTTGTGACTAAGTATTTGTTTCAATAACATACAGGAACAAGCGTTTTTTTTTCCTTCAAAATCAATGTATTTTCTTAAGATACTACTTTTATGAAACAAAGTATATATTTTTTCACGAATATTAAAAAAAACCTTGTCCCAAAAAGAAGATTGGTGACTTATGGAACGACCATTTTATTTTCTGGGGGGAAAGGGTTTGGGTTTGGTTTAGATTTTTTTTGCTGACGGAATCTTAAAATTAAACTGTTGCTGTTTTTTCAGCTCTTACCAGGCCAGAGGGTTCATTTTGAAAATCTTGCCACCCCTCCCCAGAATATCATATAGTTACCCCAATTATAACAGACAACTGTGACTTTTAATAAACATGGTTATGCAGAAAAGGACCACATACACCCATATTACCTTTATTCATAGAAGGCTCCATATATATGCATGAGTTCGAATCCCGGCGAGGGAAGAACGAAAATTTGCTTCCGCAAATTTGCAGATTTAACATTGTTGTGCTGATATTTAGAGTAATTATGAATATAATATGTGTTTTCAGCCGTGTATCACCTTCACTGGTGATCCAATGGATGGATCTATCGTAGAGTTGTCACTTGTTTAGACGTACTTATATATATAAATTAAATGCGTTTTGTTAAAATATACTTTTTAACTTTTTGGTCTTTTGGAAAATGTTGTTTGTGCTGTATTTAGACCCCTCTACCAAGAAATTTGTTTTGCATGCACACGTATAAAAATTGCGTTTTTATCCAACGCAATCATAGGTTTGAACGTTGTTTTCAATTTAGACTTGTATATATATATATATAAAGACCCATTGGTGGCCTTTGGCAGTTTTGTGCTCTTTGGTCGGGTTGTTGTCCCTTTGACACATTCTGTGTTTCCATTCTTTGTACTGTGTTACAACTCTAGATTCTACTGACGAGGAAAGGTAACACTGGCCATCGAAAGCTGAATTATTAGTTCAGTCTAGGTTGCCGAGTGGTCTAGAGCGCTGGACATAGTGCAGGCGGTGTTGGTCTCGATATCCAAATAGCATGAGTTCGAATCCCGGCGAGGGAAGAACAAAAATTTGCTTCCACAAATTTGCAGATTTAACATTGTTGTGCTGATATTTAGAGTAATTATGTACATGTATATTTGTAAATATATATATATTGTTTAATTCCAAGTTGATACCTTCTATATAAAAATAAGGAGATGTGGTGTGATTGTGAGACAACTTTCCACCATAGTTCAAATAAAATACGGCCTTCAACAATGAGAAAAACCCATACCGACTGCAAAAAGGCCCAGAAATGAAAAATGTGAAACAATTCAAACGAGAAAACTAATGGCCTAATTTATAACAAAACAATTTACGAAGAACAAATATGACTGACATAAACAAACGACAACCACTGAACTACAGGCTTTTGACTCAGGACAGACACAATCATGCGGCGGGGTTAAACATGTTTGTGAACGCTCAACCCTTCCCTAACCTGGGACAGTTGTGTAACAGTACATCAAAAGAACAAACTGTAAAAATCATTTGTAATTGGCTTAACTCAAAAGATCGGTACGAAGCACAAAACACAACTAGCATAAAAAATAATAGACACAAAACACCGAAATTAGAGTACTCGCAGTTTCTGAAAGCTAGTTGAAAGCCAATTATAACTAATAAATAAATCATGTTCAATCAGAATAAAGTACAAATCAGTACATATCCAACATATTTAGTGAAAAAACGTCATAAAAACGCATGACCTTTTGCAATGCCAAAATATAAGTAAACAGTATCGACAGAATGTCGGTTATTGTATTATCATAACAACATATATATCAATATATATTTAGTTATGTTTTAATCTAAAAAAAAAAAAAAAAAAAAATCGATGTTAGTACCAATAAAAACATTATGTAAAATTTATAACCTTGTTTTCTACCAATGTAACAAGCATACGTTTTTTCAAATGATCTTTTAATTACCAATGCAAGAACAAGTCTTATATTAAAGGGGTGCAATTGGTGCCCATAGGAATACCTACAACTGTCCATAAACTTTATTGCCGAAACATACCTAAATGTTGTCAAGAAGAAAATTTAAAGCCTTAATCATCGCATCACAGTTCCAGTAAGTATATCTGGCAAATTTCTTTTTATGCCTAATGGCTTTATATGAGATGCATCAAATAAATCTGCAACACGATTTTTCAAAAGACCATTTAATTAAATAAGAGAAGTTCTGTTGTATAAGATTGTGTGGTAGTGTAGTGTACAGAGTCGAAGAATCATAACTGTCAAATGAATTGAACGGACCATCAAAAGCAAGTTTTTTTTATCCAAAACATCCATAGAGTTTTTGAAACTCCAAAAATAGTTAATTCCCTTTTTTCATATGCTTTATTATAACAGTTAATACCAAGTTCTTGAATAGAAGTAAGCAAATAAGTTAACAGCACTGTATGATACAAATGATGCAAGTCTTCATCCCTATATACGCCCACAACTTCTAAACCAGTGAATGCATTTTCCATATCTTCGATATTGTGATAACATTAAGCACCTATGATTTCTGGGCGTTTCATTTTGTCTAGTAGACTACCATTTTTTGAATCACCTGTTACCTATACTTCGGTGATTATGAAAGCCCTCTTTATTTTCAGTTTAGATTCATCATTATGGCAGCGGCGTTCCAGGAACAGTGTTGTAGTATATGTGAACTTCAGCATCTTACACATAAAGCAGAAGAATGGTGCCCTGAGTGTGACGAGTATCTATGTTCAAATTGTAAAACTCACCATAAACTAGCAAAAGCCACACGGAGACACAAAACTGTTGCCATGTCTGATTTGAAAGAATTGCCTTCGTTTGTTTCTGCTATAAAAATCGAATGCGATGCACACCATGAGAACTATGAATACTTTTGTCCAAAACATGAGATTCCTATTTGTGTCATATGTGCAGAAAAACATACACAATGCGGCCAATTCACTATATTGCGGAAATTAGAAGGCACAAAAACATCAGCAGGTATGGTAAAGGTTGAGAAAAATATTAGAGACATACAGAAGAATTTAGAGGTATTTTTACAAAATCGCCAGTCAAACCTTTCGAATCTTAAAGATCAGCAAGCGAGTTGCAGAGAAAAAGTAAAAGAAATAAGACTCAAAATTGACCGGCATCTTGATAAGCTAGAGAAGACGGCCATTGACGAAATAGACAATTCGTATATCAAACACAAATCAGAGATAGAACAAATCATCAACAATTTAAGTGCCCATAAAATGAAGATAGAAGCAATCCAAAATAATATAGATAAAATTAAAGAGCATGCATCTGAAATCCAAATATTTCTTAGTATTCAAGATATCGAAAATAAAATAAAAGAGGAAGGAACCCAAATGGTTACAATCGGCCAGTTTAAATTACTAGAGATAGAACTTTCGTTTATTCCAACAATAAGCTGCACATCTGGCATAATATTAGAATCGTTTGGAGAGTTGAAAACAAATACCAATCCGGTTGATATAAACTTCGTCAGGCATGAAGATTCAGAAGCGCAACTTTTTATGCCAGGGACAAATAAAAAGCATATTGATCAAATTTCGATTACGAAAAAACTTGGCTTTACACTACCGACTATCCTAGGAGAAGTAAAAGTTGAATACTGTTGTAATACAGACGAAGGACTACTTCTTCTGACTGATGGAGGTAAAAAGAGTCGTATTATAGTGTTGGAGTCAAATGGTGCCTTGGTATGTGAAATTCCATTGCAACATATCCCACATGATGTAATTTCTTTCAACAAGACCTTATATGTATCTAGCTTTTCGTCCATGACATTGACAAGTATAGATTTCGAAACAACGGAGGTGAAACAGATAATTAAAACTGGTCATAATTGTGATGCATTAGCACTTGCTGGGGATAAAATTTTACTGCATTTGCATAACTTTGAGTACAAAATTTATGATCTGAATCTTATCGAAGTTGGTAAAATACCAATTCGTATGGAATTTGCTCCGTCTCTTTCCTACTGTGATGAGAAAATATATTTCGCGCAATGGAAGGAAAACACGGTGTACTGTCACAACATGGCTGGAATCATGATCTGGAAATTTCAAAACAAAGACATTCGTGCACCTAGTGGAATTGCGATAGACAGCTATGGAAATGTCTTTGTGACCGGTGCTTTTTCTAAAAACATTGCAGTTATTTCCCCGAATGGCGAGCATAGCAGAAACCTTTTAAACTTAACTGATGTTTTGGCCTATCCAACAGCAGTCCATTACAACCAGTCATGAAAGCAACTAATTGTTTCTTCTAATACTAGTAAAAACATATTAGTTTACTACGCATCTTAAATCATAACTTGACGGAGAATATCGTTTTGGCGTTTTCCTTTTAGTTGTTCTGACATTTCGATTTCAAAAATAAAACTCGAACATAAATCCTTAATTTTGATGACAGTAGCATAAACTGAGATTGTATCGTAAAATATAACTTTGTTCTTGTATGATTAATGATGCACAGTTGGTAATTCTTGTAAGCATTTCCCTACGACTTCTGTAAGATTTTAATAAAACGGTTTTAATTTTATTTAAACATATATAGAGAATATTTAACGCATATTGATGTATGTATTTTATTGTTTTTTTTTATCTGAGAGAACATTGGTCCTCTATCCCCAACTTTGTTAAACAGATGAATTGTTTCTGTAAGAATTTTGAATTTCATATTTTTTTTTGAATAATCTTTCTACTATCGTGAAGAATGGAGTTTTTAATTGCGGTTTAAGTAGGCGAGAAGAAATTTTAACATGGACTCTACGAAAACGGAAAATTCTATATATTCGGGAGTAAAAACTAACTCAATAAAAATATCTGAATCAGATGACGTGATTGAATAGGATTTTATTAAAAAAAATAATGAAGACCATGTTTATGTTAATCTCTATTTATGTGAGGTATTTAGGTTTTTGTTCCTTTTTGGGGACCGTATTATACATATGAAAGTAAAATTAGCAGAAATTAGCAAGTTTATTGATTTAAAGGATGTTCGCTACTCTTGTTTCTGACTTTTTCTCGGATTTTCGGAATCCTATAGTTTTATCCATGTAGTACCACTACTTATCCCTACTTTTCTTTTCATAATTTTATTGCATGTAGTTTCAAAGGCCATTTTTGAAAATCTTATAAAACCCTTGTTATTTTTTCATAGCTTTTGAAATTAAAAAGGTGCCAATGTTGAATGTATGAAAAATCTAGAGAGAATCATTTCCCGCCAAATTTTTAATGACTTGTATCTCAACAAACAAGGACACAGACCTACTATTTTTTCCTGCTTTTTTAGTTCCTTTGTACATATTCTATAAATTTATAACAGTCTTTTAAAAAAGCTTATTATTTTGAAACACACTAACGAACATCTATAACACTAAAATTAAGCAATCTAGAAATCTAAATACACCGTACACACAAATACTCTCAGCTTACTGTGGGTCAAGAAATCTGGTTGGTTCTTTTAAAATATACAGTCGAAACAAGACGGGGATTTGTGGAACACCTGATGTGAGAGTGGCTATGGATGATGATTTTCCTTCTATGGCTGGTTTGCGTACAATTCGAAAGAAAAGCTTGACCAAGTTAAGTATTTGTCCAGAGATTCCAATATATTTTAGTTTATATAGAAGTCTGTGACGTGGAAATAATACCAACAGAACAATTTATTTATTTTCAACAGTTCCGATTAAAACGATCACAGTATAGTGAAACTTGCCGCAACCATCACTGTGTAAACGGGAAATGTTACATTGTAAACTGAAGACCTGACTAATCCGTTTAAGTGACTGTTGTTTTAGAAACGAATTTCGGTAGTGATAATCATTCAATGTAATATCTGATCTTCATATTGACAATGTGTTCTATGTTCTATCTTGACATTTTTACCAGAGTCTGAATTCGTATACAAAGCAGGAGACAATTCATCGCACCTAGTCTCGCTCCATTTGAAATTGATATTTTTTTCTCTTTTTTTATATTCATTTCAACTATATTCTCGAGTTAAAAGCATCAGAAAACTACTGTTGCCCGCTTTTCTCATAGCTTCCAGTTAAACTTCGTTTAAATAATCTATAAAGCTTTTCTTAAATCCAAGATGAGTAACTTTTTAAAAATGATTATCTCGCATACTTTAATGTTTGGGTGATATATAGGTCAATGCACTATCTCTAAGAAGGAAAGCTTTAAACTAAATGATTTTTTTTAATGCTCTGTCAATGATAGTTTAGAGGATTTTGTTTTCCGGTCTGCGCGTCCGTCCCGTTCCAGGTAGAGTTTGGTTTGAAGTAGTTTAAGCCATGCAGATATAGTTATATTTCCTGCGTCCTTACCTATCCTTTAATGTTTATGATTATCCTTAATAAAGGCAACAGTAGTATACCGCTGTTCAATAGTCATAAATCGATTTAACTGAAACAAATCCGGGTCACAAACCAAAACCGAGGGAAACACATCAACTATAAAAGGGAAAACAACGGAACAACATAAACACTGAACTGCTACAAAAACAAACGACAACATACATAATAACGGACTATTTGATAACAACTGCCATATTCCTGACTTGGTACAGGACATTTTAAGAAAAAATATAATTTATGCGCATTTTAATTTAAACACCATTAAATTCCATGCATTTTCCCCCATATAGACTATGCAAAATATAAAAAAAAACCTACCTTCCTATCCTATTTTCTATCATAAGGTAGGACATTATAGATTTTGATGTATTACTACGAAGAATTTGAAACCTATTACATATATTCATCATGATGTGAAATTATTAAATATATGCCAACTAAGGGTTTTGATCTAGATTTCATTGCGATAAAGTTTTGATTTAAGATAGTTGAGCATGAAGTTGTGGTCACATCAACTTGAAACTTATACATGATAAGTTTAGGATGCGACCGTTATAAAGTATACCATGTATATGTAAAATAAAGATTTTAAACCTGCTTTCGCGTTCACTGATCAGGTTTAAGATTTTCGATTTAAGGTAGTTACATTGTGGTTAAAGGTATGTTAAAGATTTGGTTTAAGGTAGTTTTATCAGTTGTGGTCACGAAAATTTGAAAATTTGAAACTTACTAGACATATTAATTCATTATGATGTAAGTTTTAAAAATATATGCAAAATTTGTACATGGAAATGTGATAGTGCGAGAAGTACATGGTTTCCTATGGATATAAATTCTTGTCAAATATAATTCAACTTACAATCATGCAGTCATCGATTCTTTTCATGCTTACTAAACAACTGCCTAAACATAAATACTTCTTATATTACAAAACAAACAAAATCATGATAATATGTTACATTATTTTTTTCATTAGACGTGAATGTCCTACACTGATATACACTTTCCATCATGTGTAGGAATAAATGCATTTATTATACTCTATGCAAATTTCTTGTATTATCCATTCATTTCATTGGACACGCGGCATTTGTTAATTTTTACTAAACAATCATAAACCCCACCCACCCATAGCAACATAGGATAATATTAGCAACGGGTGTTAATGCCTAAAATTAACACCCACTGAGCCCGTATTAATCTACCCTAACACCCTTATCCAAGGGCAGCATGTTTATATTGTTTCCTCTTTGTTAAATGTGACAACACCATTATCCCTATTGAGTACGATGTCAAAGAATACATGCCCATAATCATCAACGCGATGCACGTGATATCTGAGAACCACGACAAAACAGATATCCTTGATTTGTTTTTGCTATACCTTCCGGAACTTTTAAGTCCGGATTATCGTGTCAAAATATTTATTCACCGTCTAGACCAACGTGATAAACACAATGGTAGTCTGTATAGTATTCGGAATCATTGTCTCTTCCATGTAAAAAATAGATCAATTTACCGGGGACTTGAACACATGTTCTAATGCTTCCATCCATAGCAAGATTATTTAATTCTCCGATACCACTGCAATACCATAACATTTGTTAAGGATAAGTATTTGTTCTTTGTCCGTAGTATGTTCGTTATGTTAAAAAAAACTGTATGGAACTTTCCTACGAAAGAGTTGCTATCACTTGATTTCCTTCTGCGGTAAAATGGCGATATCCAATGGTTGGCATGGGACGGCACAGCCATGTAAAAATTTTGCACTGTCACTCTAAACAAGCAAACGGTTGCTATAGCGATTGCATAAAATCAGATGATTGTCATTGGATACAGCGATAACAGTGATTTGTACATTTTCCGAAACATAAATGTATATTTGAAACCTGTATTGAAACTGATTTTTAGTTTTAGCAAGTCTTGTTACCACCTGTGCCTGTCGTCTATTTTATGAGAATAATCTAAATAGACAAGGTTGTTTACAAATATTTAATGTTCTTATCGATTGAATTGCTTCTGGTTATCCATTTTCTGGTGTGAGCTCTACACTTATGTCTATAAAGAGCGTGACTTTGTTTTGAATTTTTGATTTTCGTCTTTTCCTAAGTTATGTGCAAATAAGAAATTTGGGAATCTGACCCATGCTGTAAAACAACATCTAATTCACTTTTGCTCTTATGATATGATTTTCGCGTGTTTAACAAGTCGTCTTTTCATTTTGTAAACCTTTCTTTTCTTTTGCGAAGAAATCTTGAAAATTATCGATAATTGATTTTTCAAGATGATCAATATGATCAATTATTTGCCCTTAGAATCTATTCAGCTGAATGGTTTTCCTGTTTCTTCTATATTTTGTAAATAAAGAATTCAAAGTTTGCAGAAACAATGTTAAATCTTGTGTTAGCATGGACGGCAAAGGGATGATCGAACCGCTCGGGCAGGATTATCGATCGGTAGTATCGATTTTTTAAAACAGGCTCTGCACAGCGGTCCTAAGCAATCAAAACAATACAATTCTGCACAAACTTTGGCGTCCTCTCGAGCTCGTAAACATGATTCACACTGTCTAGCTTACTTTAAATCTGTATTATCAAGCACCGTGTACTTGAAAGATAAAATTTTATTAGTTGGAAAAAAAAAGAAAATTAACTGTTGATTATATGACGAAAAGAATCAGTATATATGTTTCTAGTTTCTGCAATTGTGTATTGTGCAACTAAGAGGTTGATATATACACGTTGAAATCTAAGGTTTTTCATACAAAAAACATACACGATGGGGTTGATTTTGATATTTTTGATACATTTCGGGTAAGGTGACCAAAGATTTAAATAAACACCAAATTTGATCTCGATTACGATGGATTCCTTTTTCGGTTGATCATGTAAATTTACGCTCGAGTAAAATACCATAAAATGTTACCGATAAGCAAAACACTTGCGCTTGTGTACCTACATGAAAACAAACAAACAAAAACAACTTGCATTATCAACCAAAATAATGTAGATGAAGAGTTTTCTTTGACTTCGTTACAAAAATCATTGTTCGATGTCAATCAACATAAGAGAGTCTTCATTGAGGGGAGTTTTTTTTTCATTTCTTAAATTGTTTTGACCATTTTTCTCTATTTCTTTAGTTTTTGCTCAGTATTCTCTATTCTTCATATTTTGGTACCGTACTT